AACAATTGAGACGAAGTTGTTAATAATAGATTACCGAGAGAAATAGGTAAAAGAAATTTCCATCCAAGATTTAATAATTGATCCATTCTTAGCCTAGGCAAAGACCATCTTGTTATGATAGAAACAAATAAGAAAAAATAGCTTTTAGCTAATGTAATAAAGAGATCAATTGTAGTTCCAAAAACTCCGTATGTTTTATTTATTTCAAAAAATTCAGAAACAAATATGTACGGAATAGAGATATTTGAACCGCCCAAGTAAAGAACTGTTACAAATAATGAAGAAATTAAAAGGTTTAAATAGGAAGCAACGTAAAATAAACCAAATCTAATACCTGAGTATTCTGTTTGATAACCAGCTACTAATTCTTCTTCTGCTTCTGGTAAATCAAAAGGTAATCTTTCACATTCTGCTAGCGAAGAAATTAGAAAAACGATGAAACCCATAGGTTGACGCCACAAATTCCAACCCCAAAAACCATATTTTGCTTGCGCATCAACTATATCAACTGTACTTAAACTGTTAGATAATCCTAGTCGGTGATAACATTACTGTTCCCATCTCTATTACAGAACCGTACATGAAATTTTCACCTCATACGGCTCCTGGAAAGCCTTAAGTAAATCTAAGGACCGGGTCAATTATTTCTCTCTTGCTATATCCCTAAGATATAGAAGATGAAAATAGATCGAACGGTTCTGAATTAGACCAATTCAATTCTGTCTGTTCTAGAAATAACGAAATAAGAAAGAGAAATATAGTTTAATAAAAGATCCAATGTAAGGCACTTCTGAATTGATCTCATCCCTCAAAAATAAAAATTTGTTGAGTAATAACTGAATTCTTCAATAAAATACTCTTTTATAATTCTCAATAGCCCTCATGATTTTGAATTACGAAAAAGAATTAAACATTCGTTTCTTAATTATGATTTGATCTCCATGAATATGGATATGGATATAAGAAATCAAAAACGAAAAATAGATTTCTCTTTCGTTTTTGATTTCTTATGTTTTTTTTTTCGTTCCTATTCTTCTTTTTTGTGCTATGAAAAAGGGACTTAAAAAATTTTAAAGGATTTTTTCGTTCCTGATAGTCATTTATTTAATGAGTGGATGGAAGCATACTCTGGATCGGAGTTGTGGGGAGTACTGCTTTATTTTTTCTACCAACTTAAAGCCCCAATTAGTATTCTTTTTATATTCTGCGTAAATTGTCTTTTGGATAATTTACAAAATCTGTGTTACTAATCCTTTGTGTATCTTGGTGTTTCTAACCATCCACTCTTTTTTATTAATCCCCCTTATTTATTTTAATATATCTATCTATGAGAATTCATAAAAATGGTAACTAAAACTCAATAAGGTTGGTCTTTAGAGCCCGCTTCAAAACAGGATGACAAATTATCCAATCTTGGGTTAAATGGCCTCTTCTGTTTATAATTTTATTTCATTCTTATACATAGAAAATGAGACTCAATATTTTTACTGCCATTAAAAATCATCATACTATCTATTAACTAGAAGTAAGAAAGTATTCTGAAATTCTATTCAATATAAGCTGTTTTATTTCACTCATATAACTATCTAATTTAGTTCTTCAATCGGAGAAAAATAAAGATAATGAAGGTTTCTATTCAATTGATTCGCCTCCTTTCCTATATAGTACTATAAAGAGAGGAGCATAGCAATAGCATCGAATAACTTTTTTGGTTTCAACGAATCGCACGTAGAGATATTGATAAGACACATAGAGTTAATGGTATTTCATAACTAATCGATTGAGCAGCAGCTCGTAGACCACCCAAAAAGGAATATTTATTATTTGAGCCATATCCTGACATAAGAAGTCCAATGGGAGCAATACTCGAAATAGCAATCCATAAAAAAACACCTATCTTGAAATCAGATAAAACAAAGTTATAGCCAAAGGGAATTACTGAATAACTTATTAGAATTGATATTATTGATATGGATGGTCCAATACTGAATAAACGAATATCTCCCCTAGATGGAATAAGATTCTCTTTGAATAGTAGTTTTGTTCCGTCTGCTAGAGCTTGAAGAATTCCAAAAGGACCAGCGTATTCAGGTCCAATACGCTGTTGTACCCCTGCTGATATTTCTCTTTCTAACCATACAATTGCTAGTACACTTATTGTGATTCCCAAGATAAGAATCAAAATTGGTACAAGTATCCATAGAATTCCATAGACCTCTTTGAAAGATTCCAATCCGGAAAAGGAGTTTATATCTTGGACTTCCGTTGTATCAATTCTCATTTCAACGATCAACTTCTCCCATAATGATATCTATGCTACCTAGTATTGTCATAATATCAGCCAATTTCATTCTTTTAACTAATTGAGGAAGAATTTGCAAATTGATAAAACCAGGTGGACGAATTTTCCATCTCCAAGGAAAACCATTCTGATCTCCTATTAGAAAAATTCCTAATTCTCCCTTGGGGGCCTCAACTCTCACATAAAGTTCTTGTTTCGGCAATTCAAAAGTAGGAGACGATTTTTTACCAATGAATCGATATTCAAAATCATTCCATTCTGGCTCCTTTTCTCTATCAAAGCAGCGGATTTCAAAATTTTCATAAGGCCCCCCTGGAATTCCTTCCAAAGCCTGTTGAATTATTTTTATGGATTCCACCATTTCACCAATTCGAACTAAATAACGAGCTAATGAATCTCCTTCTTTTTGCCATTGAACTTCCCAATCCAATTCCTCGTAACACTCATAATTATCAACTTCACGTAGATCCCATTGTATTCCGGAAGCCCGAAGCATCGGTCCTGATAACCCCCAATTTATAACTTCCTCTCTACCAACAAAACCTACTCCTTCAACCCGTTCTAAAAAAATTGGATTTCGCGTAATAAGTTTTTGATATTCAATAACCCTTGTTAAAAAATAATTGCAGAAATCAAAACATTTATCTATCCAACCATAAGGTAGATCAGCGGCTACCCCCCCAATACGAAAAAAATTATGCATCATTCTCATACCTGTCGCAGCTTCGAATAGATCATATATTAATTCTCTTTCTCTAAAAATATAGAAAAAAGGGGTTTGTGCACCAATATCTGCCATAAAAGGTCCCAACCATAGTAGATGAGAAGCAATACGACTTAACTCCAACATAATTACTCGTATATAGCTGGCTCTTTTAGGTACTTGAATATTTCCCAATTGTTCCGGCCCGTTTACAGTTATTGCTTCTGTGAACATAGTCGCTAAATAATCCCAACGTGTTACATAAGGCAGATATTGTATAATTGTTCGGTTTTCCGCTATTTTTTCCATACCTCTGTGTAAATAACCCAATATTGGTTCACAATCAATAACATCTTCACCATCCAGAGTAACAATAAGTCGAAGAACACCATGCATCGATGGGTGTTGAGGCCCCATATTTACTATCATGAGGTCTTTTCTTGTAGCTGGGATATTCATAGGTTTTTCCTCGATTCATTCTTCCATGAATCGTTCAAAAAAAAAAGTTCATCAAAATTCAGTATCTAATAAATCGAATAATTGAAAATGATTCTTTAAATTACCTAATTTGTGAATCCCGAATACCCAACCGATTTATTAAATTTTGATAACGTATTTTGTTTTTCTTTGACAAATACGACAATAGTCGTTTCCGTTTTCCCAGAATTATACGTAAACCTCCTTGAGATAAATCGTCTTTTGGGTGTAATTTAAAATGTGAAGTAAGTCTTTGTATTTTATTAGTGAAGTTGAATACTTGAAATTCAACCGATCCCGGGTTTTCTTCTTCTTTTTTTTTTTGTGAAATAACAGGTATAAATGAATTTTTTATCATAAAATGAAAGCTTTTCTTTCCCCCTCCTTTTTGGTAGATATTTTTATTGATCAGTAATAGTAATGACACTCATTTTGAATTTTTTATATCAAATTTTACCTTAATTTATTTAACAATTTTCACAATTCTGAATTTTTTTTTTTCAAATTCCTTATTAAGGAATGTAATTCAAATAGAGAATAAATACTATATTTATGTATTCAAAAAATAAAAAATTCTATTGTCTTGTATTTAAAAAATAAAAAAAAAAAAGACAATTTTGATTTATTCATTTTTCTATTGATTTATTTCTATCTAATGGAGACATCATTGAAGTCGTATCAATCCCACAATGCGTGTGCGCGTTTATTTTATTTATTGCAATTATCAATTATATGTGAACATATATATATATATATAAATAAATATTTATTTATATATATATATATATGTTCACATATCAGATATCAGATAGATATCTGAAATATTATGATAATGATAAATAGAACAAAAATCTAGATTTTCAATCGAGGATACATATGTATTCTTAATATACTGAAACGGCTTCCATTATGTGTATCAAACCAATAGCGGTTCATACAAGCTAAATCTTCGAATCGATAATTTGGCCAAAGAAAGAATTTTAAAGTCATTAGTTTTTTTGTATCGCTATCAATATCTTCATTTTGAGTCAAAACTTCAGAAGAATTATTTCGTTTTTTCTCAGTGTCATTTATTGTGTTTCTATGCACAGTATTTCTATTCTGTGGGTTCAAACAAATTAGAATTCTCAATTCTCTACGGCGTCTAGTGGACAAAAGATTTTCAGGAACAAAGTAAATCATAGTTTCTTTTCAAAATTTTACGTTTGTGCCTCAATGATATGCTTATGGTTTGATATATAAAAAATTGTTCATAGTTTTTTCTAGAAATACGAATAGGTTCAATAAAAAACATTAGGTTGTCCCTCAATTCCTCTGTGTCCCTACATTCTGTATAACAAGTGTCCTTCATCTGCAGACGCGCCGTAATTTCAAAATCGAGGTCTGCCTTTTTTATAGACATTATGAAAAATTGTTTTAGATTTTTCAATCTAACCAGGAGACAATATAAGTTGATATTATCCATTAGTGTTTCTTGGACGGGAGTCTTACAGTGCAAATAAAAACCAAAATATTTATCTAGTAAGAAATTTTGTTCGCCATTTAGATCCTTCCTGTATCTAGTTATACTATACCGAGTGTCCCTATAATAGTTTGAGAGATATGATTTGAGATCTGCTTGCTTCCCGTATTCTTTCTTTTCTAACTTTAACTTGGCTACATCAGTAATGTTTTTGTTTCCATAAAACTGCACAAAAAAGAAATTCATTGGTAAGATCCAAGGATTCTTCTTATATGCACTTAATTTTGAAAAGAACCCAAATCTCGGAGTCAATAATTTCTGATTCGTTTTGGAATTCTTTTTTCTTTTTCCCATCCAATTTAGATACTTTCTATTCAGATTTTTTTCCATTGTTTCCATATCCATATCTATAATACCATCTTCTGCTATATAATTTTGGATAAAGCTATCGCCCATTATATCAAATAATTCTTTTTTATTTTTAGGTATGTTGTAATTAATCGTTTGGTTTTTGTTTGCTTGCAATGGTGATTTATATCCATAAATATAGGATTTTTTGTTATCTGCATAATTTATATATTGATAGGAGAAAAGATCATATCCATATTGTTTTTTTATTTTTTTTTTTTTTTCTAATAAATCTACTTGTTGTTTTTTTTGTTTTTTGTAAAAAATGAATTGGTTTTTTTCAGATGAATCATATTCAACTAAATTTTTCTTTTGAGCCACGCGATGTTCATGGATTCTCTTCCTCCACTTTTGTGGTACTAATTTTGACCATCCGCTCTGAGGTAAAGCATATTGATAATGAACCTTTAACCAATTTATCCATTGATTCATTATAGAATCGGGACGGTTCTTATGTCTTAATTTGGAATTTAATCTTCCTCCTTGTATTCTAAAAAAATAATCTTTTATTTCATTCTTAAGAAACAAAGATCTTCCATGAGATTCAAAAATAGATCTTAACTTATATTTATATCCATTACTAACTTGTGATAATTTAAAAAATACATAGGCTTGTGACAAAGAAGATACATCACAAGAATTCTGTGAATTCATATCTGTAATATTCCAAGATTTGTCTATAATCGACATAAATGGAATTATACTTTCATTTGTTTTATGAACTCTTTGTTCATTTTTTTTTTTAGTGTAAATGGAAATAAATACATTTACAATTTTGTCTGTTAATTCAATAATATTAAGAAAACGTTGTCCAGACATCATAATAATACGAGTGATAGAGAAAACGATCTCTATGTATATCCTTCCCATTAAAATTTGAAAAAAAAAATAGGATTTACGGATTAATCGAACGGTTCTTCTTTTTAATATTTTCAAACTATTTTTTAGTAATTCTAATCTTTTAGCATCATAAGTAGTTTTGGTAGAATTCAAATTAATCTCTAAAGTTATAACCCCCTCTTTTTTTTCTTCTGTCATTTTTTCTAGTTGTTTTAAGATTGTCTTTGTTTTAACATTAAGATCTTTTATCCTTTTTTCTGTGAAATTTGTCCAATTCATAGATTGAATTAGAACGGGCGATTCCTCAATCATTGGATTACTCTTACTGATTGTTGAATTTTTTTTGCTTTCACTCAATTCATCTCTTTTTTTGAACCTATTTTCGATTTCTTCTAACACGATTCGAGACCCCTTTTTTCTTTCATTAAAAACTTTTAGAACTAGAAAAAAACGATTTTTCAAATCTTTTTTCAATTGTTTTTTTATTTTTTTTAAAATGGGACCCAAAAATAAAAAAGGGTTTGGGACATGATCATCAAGGTACGATTCGACTTGTGTTCCATAACCTGTTAAAAACCATAAGTTTTTTTCTTTCAGTGGATCTTTTTTTTTTTCAGTAGATTTTTTTTTTTTTTCAGTAGATCGTACCTTATTGTGCCACGGTTTCAGAACAAAAGGGAATAAGATCCTTATCTGAATACCCTCCCAGAACCAGTTTGTTGGCAACGCGGTGTGAGATACTGGAACGCCCTGATAGGTGCAGTAAATATGGACTTCTTTTCTCCAATCCCTCAAATCTTCTGACCATTCAGGATTTTGAAATAATAGTATACGAATGATATTTTTTGTGATTATCAATGAAGGTAATAGAATATATTTTCTAAATATTGATTGGAATAGTAATACAAAACTTCTGATTATTAGACCATAGAGAATGCTCTCCCAGGCTTCTTCGATTTGTCTAAGTCTTATTTCAGACTCGTCTTTGTTTTCCTCTATCTCTTTCTGTTCTATCGTTTTCTCAAACGCCAAAAATTCCGAATTATCAGTACCCGGTTTCCTGAAATATTCTTTCAAATATTGGGAGATATCATAGACAAGATCACCAAACAAGAACGCGTAGTCGCCCATTATCTCCAAAAAAAGAGGGGAGTGTGCAGTTCCTTGAAAGAGTTTATAAGTTACTGTTTTACGCCTTTGAGGGCGCATAGATCCTCTGATTAGGTCTCGGCAATAATCTGGTTCGCGTGAATAATGAACTACAGCAAATTCAGTATTTCTGTCCGGTTCAGCACTATTCTGATTGTCATTAGAATCTGTTTTACTATTAAAAAGAACTATACGGTCAGCTTTTGGGGAACGAATCTGAGACTCCTTTGGACTCGCGTCCATCAATACCGCCAATTCGTCGACTAAGTCGTATGACCATCGAGGAACTTCTTTACTTATTTCGTTTATTTCACTACATAGTTTTCTATTAAAAATTGTATTATTAGTAGGATCAGTTCGAATTGCGTCCAATAATAATTTTCTTTTTGTTTTTTTTTCTTCGGAATATATTTTTACTTGTTCATGTTCTGGAAATAAATAAAGTCCGTCAAAATTCAAACTTGATACTGATTTTTCCGAAAATTTACTGATTAAGTTAAAAAAAAAACCAATTTCATTTAATAATAATTTTCTATCAAATTGATCTATTTTCTGTTCAAATTCTGGATCATTACTATTAATAGAAAGAAGGAGACCATGAATCTTATTTATCAAAATGTAGTTTGTTGTGTCAGTTTCATTTGGAATGAAGGGTGAAAAGCCTTTTTGGATTTCTCCACGAACGCGTCCATTCAAGAAAGGATCATATATTTTAGTTAAGTATTTTGTTAATTCGATTTTCAAATACATCCACAGGACTAAATTTAATAGATTTATTATCTATCATTTTTGCCCTTTGAAAAAATTCATTGATTAGTTTATTTCCTTTTTCTTTATTAACAGAGCTCCAATAATTAGACAATTCATTATCATTATAGGAGGTTTTATCTCTTCTGAAGAGATCCATTTTTTTTTCCATGATTTTCAGAAAAGTAGATAAATGAGGTGGATACGTGAAAGATATTCGTTTTTTTCCATCACTTTGACATACCTGAAAAAAAAATTGTGAATTTTCATCTCTTACAACCCTTTCAAAGTGATCATTTTTTATATATCGCAAAGGCCTATTCCATTTTCGATAATCGAAAAGAGTAGTTACAAGAGATTTTTCCAACGGGGCGAGTTTTTTGTTGAAAGTATTCTCTTTTTTATCAGAAAGATAAACAGTAATATCTTCTTCTTCTTCGTTAGTTTCTTCCTTTTCCCAATCTATTGCAGCTTTGACTTCCTCCAGGTCCCTGTCATCGTATCGCATCATTTCCTCAATATAATAATATGGGAGCGGTGTTCTGCCTAAATAGTGTGCAAAGCTAACAAATGAAAAAACAACAAATATTTGCCCCACATAATTTCGCAATTGTAGGAGAATGTATTTATCAAATTTCATAGTTATCTTATATTTGATCGACTTTTTGTGCTGTAACCAGACTAATACCAATCCAATACATTTCATTAAAAAGATGTGACCTATTAACCACCCAACAAAACTACTTGTTAAGAATAACAATTTATTGTTGGATCGAAACAGATAAATGTTCATTAATCTTATTAAGATTGAACTTGGCAAAAGAAAGGGGTTTAATAACTGAAAAAAAAGATTGTTAAAGAATACTTTAACAATCCTAAAATGACGTATTGAATTTGGATTCTTGTATTCAGAATCCAGTTTGGATCCCGAACCCAAATAGTAGTGTTTGTCATTTTTGTGGACAAAATTAAAGAAAAGATACGGTAGAGTTAAGACTGTTATTGTATGAGGTCTACTCAATGCCAAATGCAAAGGCGCATAATAGATCGATATAAACATCATGAGCTGTCCCGTAATAAACCCGGTTGTTGCTGATATTTTCGTTTCAGATCCCTTTCCTAAGATTTGCCCTCGAAGAAGGAAGAGATAAGACGGTCCTATGGAGAATGTAGTCAGAAATCCATAATAGAATCCGATCACAACGGCTGAATTCAGTATTTTAACGCAGAAACCAACGAGATAATTTCCCCAAACTAAGCTATAAATCATAATACCTCTATGAGTGTTCGATTTGTTTTTCTTTGATATACTTTGTTTTGTTTTTCTATGTTATTTATTATATCTTCTATGTTAATGTTATTGATTATATTTTCTATGTTATTTATTATATCTTCTATGTTAATGTTATTGATTATATTTTCTATGTTATTTATTATATCTTCTATGTTAATGTTATTGATTATATTTTCTATGTTATTTATTATATCTTCTATGTTAATGTTATTGATTATATTTTCTATGTTATTTATTATATCTTCTATGTTAATGTTATTGATTATATTAAAATCAATTCTTCTGATCTAAAGAACAAAAGAAACATCTTCTTCTTGTTAATTTGAAAATAATTAATGATATAAACTTCAATACTTCATCATTTCTAAATAAATAACTAATTTCTTTATTTATTCTTTTCTGTGTTCTTTTTTTTTCTTTGCTTCGTTCTTCTATGTTATTCTTTTCTGTGTTCTTTTTCTTTGTTCTTCTATGTTATTCTTTTCTGTGTTAGTATCTGATATTTCCTATGTTTGTTAAGCATATAATATAAATATGTTAAGCATATAATATAAATATGTTAAGCATATAAGTTTGTTAAGGATATTCTTTTCTGTGTTAGTATCTGATATTTCCTATGTTTGTTAAGCATATAATATAAATATGTTAAGCATATAAGTTTGTTAAGGATATTCTATGTTTTATTATGTGATATTATTCTTT